TCTATTTTTAATTACCTGCAGGTTTTTGTGTCAATGTAAGTTTTTGTTTAAAAAAATTTTTTATCGTGGTAGAATAGACATAAGACTTCCATCGTACGCATTTTTAAGCATCCAGTTTGGTGGCATTGAATAAATTCCGAATGCTGTGCAGCCACCCCTGTCACCGATCGCCGTAGCTCTTTCCTTATGAAGCTGAGCTGCTGAGCGCCCGGCAGTGACTCGTGCTCCCGCCTCTGCCTCACTCCGGCAGCCTCTGCTGCTCCCTCTCCGGGATTCTGGCTGCTCAGGGATCTCACAGCAGTGCACACGTGCTGCTGTCCTTTTCTTTTTCTGGCTGGCTTAGCATCACGTCGTCCGGGTTCACTGACGTCGGGTCATGGGTCAGAATCTCTTCCCTTTCGAAGCCTGAGCACCGCTCCGTTGTAGGCATCCTCAGATTTTGCTTTTCCATTCGTCCTCCGATGGGCCCTTGGGTTACTTCCACTTTTTAGCTGTTGTCGATGGTGCTGTTAAGAACACGGGATGTACAGAGAGAACAAGGTCTCTTTGAGCCCCTGCTTTCAATTCTCTTGGGATATACACCTGGAAATGGAATTGCTGGATCACAGGGAATCCTAATTTTAATTTGGGGGTACCACTATGCTGTTTTCTGTGAGGACCGCCCCATTTTCCATTCCTACCAGCAGTACACAAGGGCTCAAACTTCTCCACGTGCACACCAACACTGCTTACTTTGTTTTGTTTTGGATGGTAGCCATCCTAATGGGTGTGAGGTGGTTCCAAATACATGCTGATCTCATTGGGTAAATGCATAGGCATGGGGCTGCTGGACTATACGGTGCGTCTGCGTGTACATTCCAGCCATTTCCTAAAGTGGATGTAGCATCTCACAGTCCTGTCCGTGCTTGGAGACTGCTGGCTGCCCTGTGGCCTTGTTAGCACTTGCTGTGCTTTTCTGACGTTAGTCATTCCAGGAGGTGTAACAGCTAATGACATCAGACTGCTTTTTGCATGCTAATATGCCATCCATAACTCTTCTCAGATGAAGTGCTCAAACCTTGTGCTCATTTGAAAATTGGATTTTCTTATTATTTATTTGATTTCTTTGTATACTTGGATACAAGTCCTTTATCAGGTATCTGTTTTGCCTTCAGGGACCAGTTTGTGGCTTTATCTTTTAATTTTCTTTAATGACTTAACTTTGCATCTAATACAAAAGTCCACATAAGGAGGACGTGGAGAGACAGCAGCAGCTGGCACAGGACCATCGGACACAGAACTGGACAAAGGACATCCCAGGGACCTTAGATTCAGGTGACCTCAGTCCAGTCCATGTTTACAGACGAGGAAACTTGAGGTGTTGAGGTGTAGAGAGGCGGAGGGACTCGACTTCTGAGGTGGACAGATCAGCGGGCTAGCACTGCTGTGATTTCCAGGTGTGGGAGTTCATTCGGTCTCCAGGGACTCTTTTAACCCTTTGGCTATTTGAGGTTTCAAATTATGTTTTCATCATGTCCAGTAGAGGGCGCAGCATCTAGTACTGTGTGTATCCTAACTGGCTAGCAGTGGAGAAGTCAGCCAGGAGACATAGGGCTCAGGAAGTGGGGGAGACGGAGCAGGCGCTTTAGGCCATTATGGAGTGTGCAGAAAAGTCCTGTGGATTTAGATTTCACCATACACAAACTATTTGACGGCAAATCAATGAGGGCCCTAACATCATTGACTCACACTCTGGTCTCCAACATTTTGGGCTCCTTTCCCACAAAACGCAGTTGTAGGGAAGTGACTGACCAGCTAAGGACTTCACTTCCAGACTCCTGGCATCCAGAGGGAGCCCTAGGACTGCCTTCTGGCTGTGGAGTTGGTTGGGAGTTGGGTGGAGGGTTTATGGCAGCTCCGGGTTTGGCCCCTAACTCCCGTGCCACCCTGCATGCCCAGCGCTGCCCTGGAGGGAAGTGCTGGAGATGGTAGAGGGCCTACCTCAGACCAGATCCCTGAATGGCTAAGTGACAGGGCCACCGCCCCCTTCCCTGTTACCAGCAGTTGCATTGTATGAGTTATGAGCAAGAAATAAACCTTGATTGTGCTAAATCACTGAGATTCTGGGGTTGCCTGTTATTATAGTTTAACAGTTATTTTAATACTGTGAATGGCACCTAACTTGATTTACAAAATTTAATTTATACTTAGAGTAGTTGAAGCAAAGTTTGGGGGAAGGGCTGAGGGCAACGTATCATGAATCCAAAGCTGCCCCATTTGTCAGTCCATCAAGCAATCAGTCTGAAGGTCAAGGAGTAGTGTGCACAAGGTTGCCTCCTTCTTCCTCGCAGAACACCCAGAAAACAGAAAGTGAGAGTAATCACATTTTATTACTTACAAATCATTGCCTGAAAATATATAAACTACCTCATGGACCCAAACTCTCTGCAATTCACTGCAATATCATAGAAACCATGATATAATATGTTTCTTGGAAGAAAACTTTTAACACCTGCTAAGATCCCCTACACAGAGAAACAACTTTTCTTGCACTCATCATGCCAACTTTCAGGTGAATAAAACTAAGGGTTCTTTGTGCTTCTTCCAAAAGTATAATTTATTGCATAACATTTACAGCTTGGAAAAGAATCCTGGACTAGGTTCATGAATAATAATCAGAAGACAAATGTTCCTGACACAGGCTGTAGGAAGGGCCCCTTTCCTCTGTGGTGGGACAGGGGATTGATTCATGAGCTGGTTATTTAGCACTTGCTCAGCTTCTCCCAAGCACTCACAGGGGAGGATCTGCTATTTGGAAGGAAATTCTGTGCCACAGCAGTTGGTGTGCTGCACTTTGACTTTCTTGTTTTAGAGTGGTCTTTGCAATGTCTCCCCAAGGTCAACAGCTAATGGATTTATTATTTAGTCTGGAAAGATGCAGAGAGACATCCAAACCTCTGGGGGTGGAGGGGCCAGCGCTCTTCCAGGTAGAGCGTGTGTGGGCACTGACTGGTTCTGCCACTGCCACTTCCTTCCCAGGACTTGGGAGCGCCGAGACTCATCCTGTGGCATTCGGGAGTGGTCCTTACACTGCTCCACACAAGCACGTAGATGAGCGAGCAGGAAGGCCCCTGGTGGGACACAGTGAGCTGCACTCGGACTGCCACAGCCAAGGCTGGTCACAGCTCTTCTTAGTACTCATCAGAGCTGCTAGTTGGCTTCCTCAAAGCAGAGATGGAGCATTCTGGGGGAAGGCACTGCTAGAGTTCTCTGTAGGACACACACAGGACACTGAGGCGGCTAGCTCTGAGAGGCAGAGGTGAGAGAGGCCGGCTACTAGCACTCGGATGACAGGTAGCACAGTGCAATGAGGGTAGGCTTTGGAATCATAACAGACCTGGCCCAAACTCCTGTGTGCCACTCTGCTGAGCTATGTGGCCTTCGACAGTTTCCTTCTCTAATCCGCCCATGTGTAACTGGATGTGAGCTCACCGCACCTGGGGCTTCTTTGAAGCATAAATGAAATGAGCGGTCTGATAAGAAGCATTCAATACAGGAAGGCACGCACAGACGCCTCCGTGCCACTGCAGTGGAACTCAGCAAGGGGTTCTACAGGCTGCGGCTGTCTGGCCTCATAATGACAGCACAGTTCTTCAACTGAGTACTCTTTTTGGAGTACTTCTTGGGATCTTCTATGCAATTTTAGTACATCCCAAAAGACAGGTGGCAAACAATTCTCAAATTGAGACTTAACTCCATCTCAGTACAGCTGATTTGCCTGGGCTCTGGGCTGGGGACAGAGTGACGGCACAGGGGAGAGGCTGTGGAACTGGAGGGCGAGTCGGCATGCAGACCAGACAGTGGTGCTGCAGCTGCAGCGAGGGGGTGTGCTGGAAGCCACATCAGGTGAGTGCTCACGCCCTCCCTTCCCTTGTCTTCTTTGGCCATCTTTGTGTCATTCCGCTCTGGTGGTAACTCACAACACTGAAGTCTTCCTGACCCAGAGCGTGTGCTGTCAGGACTGCACCTGGCTTGTCTTTGCGACTGTAGCGTTAAACGCTGTCCTCTCATTTTCAGAAAGCCACTCTCAATGGATTTCCAAGGTGAATCCTGTGCTGCATTTACCCCAACCTGGGGCCCTGAGTGCACGGGGAGCAGACCTGCAGGTGCTGGGCCCAGCCCTGTGCCACAGCCCCGCCAGGGCCTTGCCTGCAGGCCTCAGAGGCTGCCTGTGCTGAGAGAACCTGCCAGCTGCCTGTGGGAGAGCACAGGGCTTTGGGCCCACCTGCCCGAACTGCTGCAGAGGGGTGGGGCTGCAGAGGGCCAGCGGGATTTGGGAATGGCGGGTCTGGCGTCCCAGGTCTCGGTCTCTGCACCGGTCTGGCACTGCCAAACTTTCCTCCTGCTGGAGATGAGGCTAGCGTCCCACACTGGCAGCTTCTTTCTCAGGGCACAAGAAGAATTGGGACTGTCTTTCCAGATAACAATGAAAACTTGTTCTGAGCCTCTGTGATAAGAAAGAAGAAAGAAGATCACTCCTAGAAGCAGCAGGAACAGAAAGCCATCTCCACAAAAGGCACAGCCTTCTCACTGTGCACGGTGGCTCTCTGAAATATGCATTTCTGCAAACCTAGTGTTTGGTTTAAAATAGCGTGGCTCTTCAGGATCAGAGGCTCTTGGCCAGGTCCTGCTTGAGGAAGGGAAAATCAGGAGAGGCTGTGGATGAGCTCTTTGCACTTTTGTCCCTGGTCCCAGACTGGTAGACGACTCCCCTGGTGGGGGTGTGCTGCTGTTTCCCTCTAAAGAAGAATCCCCAGTGGTTCAGTAACGGTCCCCTCATAGTGAGGGATAGAGCTGGGATGGACGCCCCGTGCTAAGATCTCCATGGACAGCAAGGGTAGAGTGAGTTCCTTGGAATCCTTTCACAAGACAGCTGCAAAGCCAGAATTGCAGGACTCCAGAGAGATTTCAGTGATACCCCCTTCCTTTTTTATGAACTAAAAAATAAACAAAACTTCAACCTCTTGGGAGCAGTTTTTAATACGCAGAGAAAGACCAAAGCAGAAGGAGTTACTGTATCTGCAAAGCATGGTGAAGAACCAGCACTTATTTACAGAAAGTGGGCGTGAGTGAAGCACTGGCGGTCCTGGCTGTACCCAATGAGCAGAACCTACCGAGAAGTGACGAGGTGAATCTGTGGCCTGTGCATGCATGGCGGTCGGGGGCAGGCTCTGGGGTGTGCCGTGCTCAGCAAACCCATTCCCCTGGACGACCCTCGGCAAGCTGCTGACCCTGTCCAACCTCATCGGAAAACGGGGGTAGTGTCAGCAACCGCATTCTGGGGGCTCCTCTGTATGTAAAGCAAACGGTCAGGGGCCCTGTGCCTGTGTCACCTCTAGGGGACTGCTATCTGCACAAGTCTTGACAAGTTTGGACAAAGAGCCTTTGACTCCTCTGTCCTTTCCTTGCTCTTCCACACTTCGGCCTATCTGTCCCGTCTTTCCTCTCCCTCCTCCCGGGGTGGCCTGGCTGGAAGGGCTCAGGGTCCCTCCCACTCCCCAGCCACTTCCGTGCTGGGTACAGCACTGACCATGTGACTCCTTGCCCACTGTCATGCATCTCCTGGGGGTTGCTCCTCCTGGGCCTAACAGTAAGCACACCAAGAGCCATGTCACCGTCTTCCGTACACAAATGGCATCCTTCTGCCAACTTCTGTTTTCCAAGCTGAGAATCCCCTGCTTCCCCTCTTGTCTCGTCTCCTGCCTGTCTCTCACTTGCAGACCTGGCCCCAGTCCTGAACCCCACGGGCATTTGAGGCAGGCTCCTTGGCCTCTGCTCTCAGCAACCCTGTCCCCATCCCACATTTTATTCTTTCCCAGTCACAGAAACTGTATCACACTCTTAATTGTTAAATTAAGAGACAGTGTCAAATATTCCCTCCTTTTTTGTTTAAAGAAGCATTATCTGCAGCATTTATCCTGAGAAAGAAAATCACACCCGCAGAAAATGAAGTGATTTTGGTTGCAGTCTGCTTGCAAAGAACCGAGGAGCCCTGGGACCCCCTGAAGATCCTCTTCATGAACTGTGCGTCTCTCCACGTCCCATCTTCCCAGCTCGGAAGCCTCCCGCCTCCCACTCCAGTCTAGCCTCAGCCTCCAGATCCTGTGTTCTTCCCTAAAATGGCTGAGAGCTCTGACTGTGCCCGGGTAAGCTGGTTTGGGATGGGATGGACCTGGCCATCTGTCTGGTGGGTGCCTCTGAGAGGTGCACGGCTGTGTGGGGAGGGGGAGCATGGTTAGACTCAGCTGTGTTCTACAGTGATGACTTCTGAATAACACCTTCTGCTTTTAGAAGACGGTTTTGTTCAACCAAACAATTAAGGGCTTGCCTTACCAAGCCCTCAGTAATCCCTCCTTGTGGGAGCAGGTCTAATTTGCTTTAAGTTGAGGGGTGTGTGTGTGTGTGTGTGTGTGCATGTATTTGATGTTCCAGTGCACTTTCTCTTTGTACTAAAACTCTCTCCTCCATAGCAACATGAAGGATGATGATTGCTTTTTGTGGAGCCGAATACATTGCTCTACACTCAACAAATATTGTTACCCGACTCCCATTCCAAGCCTGGGGAGATCTGGAGTCGCAGAGGAATAGAACCTTCTGACAAAGGCTGCAGTCTGAGTGTAATTCTCCTTGCGAAGCACTCGTTTCCCAGAGGAATAGCCAGTGATGGATGCCACTGTCAGAAACCCAGATGCACACTCCCATACATCAGCCAGGAAAATCCGCCAGCAGCTCGCCCAGCAGGCCAGAGCTGACTCGCCCACTTGCCCCCCCAGTGGGAAGAGAGGTATCAGGAAACCCAGGGCAGCAGCAGGAAACAGACACAGGGGAAGGAGTTAGACGGGGTTGGTTCTTGTGGGTCCCCGGTTCCTGTTGGGGGCTGAGGGTGTGGAACCGTACTGCTGTGTGAGCAGGGCCGGGGGAGCCTTGGGAAACGTGTGGCCTGGGAGTGTGCTGGCAGCTTCTGTTCCCGGTGCTAGTAAGTGGACATGTACAGCTCTACCCATGAACTTTACTCCTTATATAGGGATGATGGCTCCGTCTTCCTCGTGGACGGCTGTGATCTATCTACGCTAAGCTCATGCTATGACATGGAGTCCCTTTGGAGAGCAGGTCTGTGTGACTGCAGCAGGAGGGGTGGTGCAGTGGTCGTGGAGAGGTCTGAAGAGTCAGGATACTATGGGGTGGAAGGGTGGAAGCCGTCCGGCAGGCCCACGGGTAGCTTGTGAGTGTCGGGTGCTTTATCGGTAGCGGCAGGCCAAAGCATTGACGTTCTTAACCACATAAAAGCCCATGGTGACTGGAGGGATGACCAATGTCCGGCCGGCCCGCAGGGGGCGGGGCTTCAATTCTGGGAGTGTCCCGTCGTCCACCATGACTAAGGGCTGGCCATTCAGCTGCACTGACCTACAGGGAGGAAAAACAGTATGGGACTCATTAGCGTATCATAGAGGAGCCAGCACTTCAAAGCCTGGGTAGTCCCAGGTTGCAGGCCAGCCCTGGCTGACACCTGCTGACCAGGTGTTTAATCATTCACTAAACATCCCAGCAACCCCCTGCGGTGAATAACTACGGTTAACCCCATTTCATCTGGGGTCGCTAAGTGACTTCACCAAGGTCACTCAGCTTGTAGGTCTGGGAGCCAGGGTTTGAATCCACATAGTCTGGCTTCAGAGATGTCGTTTAGACCGCTGAAAAGTCTCAGTGATACAGAAGTCGAAAATGTTTCACGCCTTAAAATATCATAGTAGCAGCTTGATTTGACTTTTTGACCCGAAGACTTGTTACCTGTGGAATGATGCACGGGCTTCACACAATTTCAGAAATCTATTTGTTTCTTTCATTAATTGATTTAATGCATTGGAGAACTGCATGATGTCACTTTTCTAGGGTTATTCTGAAGAGGGACAGATAATTATCTATCAATTCTATTTCCCTAGTCTGAGTTTCCCTATTTAACAGATGTTTCCATTTTAGTAACACAACAAAGTAGGTGGTGAAGTCGGCATTTGTGACCTCGCTTGCTTTTATCTTTGAGTGTAGCCAGCCATTTTCACCCTGAGAAGGGGACCACATGAGAAACAGCCCACTTTAGGGGATGGAGGGAGATGCCACCCCCATGGCCTGTGATATGGAATCCAGGCAACTTCCCAGCTGTTTCTGACCGCCATGTACCCAGATGGAAGCTCAGCTGTATGGGTCAGTAGAAGCGGCTAGAACCCGGCCACCAGCTGGAAGTAAGGTGGTGAGTCAGCCCCAGAGAATCAGCATCGCGGAGTGATGAGTGTTTCTGGGCCTTGCCCAGCCTTCCGTGTGATAACATTGCAGTGATGTCATCCAAGCCGTAAAGGGGATAAAATGTGATAAGCTGGTAGGTCTTTGTTTTGTGTTACTTCTGTGCTATAAATGATGGGCAGCTTTAGAGAGAGATAATCAGACCCATGCCCAACAGAGCAGACAATTCCCAGAGATAAGAGGGCTGCAAATTGCCCCCGCCGGAGAGCTGAGCACAGGAGAGCTCCAGACTGGCCTCACATGGATACGTTTAGGCTGGGTCCAGATCTGACGGACAGGCCGGAGGGCCCCCGCCCCTGCCACCCGTCAGAATGGGTGAGGAATGAGCGAGCCACAGGGGCACTCCTGGGTAGGAGGCAGGTCTGCCTCTGGAAGCTGGGGTGGAGGAGCTGAAGGTCTGTTTTGATCTCATCAGATATGCAAGCAGCTTTGGCTTCCGAGCACAAGGCGTGACCCTTGCGGAGAAGCCGGCCTGCTCACTGCAGTGGGAGGAGAGTGAAGAGGAAGATGCACCTGCCCAGGAGGCCCAGGTGTCTTCGCTGTGCATTTTCACTCTTTTGTTTCAGGTGCTGCGAGTAGTCTACAAGCAGACGGGAGTGCAGTGAGATGCAGTTCCACAGTTCTGATGAACCTCTCCAAAGCGCTTACATTTATGTAATTGTTCTGCCATAAAACCTTCAGTGTGCCTCCCCTGGATGAGGGTACTTTAAAAAGTTTGGGAAAAGTCACATTAAAAGATAATCTTGGGGGGCTGGTGCAGTGGCGTACTAGGTTAATCCTCCGCCTGTGGTGCTGGCATCCCGTATCAAACCAGTTCTAGTCCTGGCTGCTCCTCTTCCAATCCAGCTTTCTGCTATGGCCTGGGAAAGCAGTGGAAGATGGCCCAACTCCTTGGGCCCCTGTACCCACGTGGGAGACCGGGAGGAGGCTCCTTGCTCCTGGCTTCGGATCAGCACAGTGCCGGCTGTTGCAGCCATTTGGGGAGTGAACCAATGGATGGAAGATCTTTCTCTCTGTCTCTCCCTCTCACTGTCTGTAACTCTACCTCTCAAGTAAATAAATAAAATCTTTTTTAAAAAAGATAATCTTGGTAAAAACATTTGAAATCATGCATAATTATCTCACTATATGCACTTTTTGAACTGTTTGAAGATTCCACCAATGCATGGATTTCAATCTTTTTTTTTGAACTCAAAATAATTCTGTCCCGGTTGCCCCTCTTCCAGGCCAGCTCTCTGCTGTGGCCCAGGAAGGCAGTGGAGGATGGCCCAAGTGCTTGGGCCCTGCACCCCATGGGAGGCCAGGAGAAGCATCTGGCTTTTTATGGCTCCCTTCTGAAAATCTCTTCCCTTGGCTCCCATGTTTGATTCTCTGATTCCCTCTCTCCCCCACCCCTCCCTCTCCCTCTCTCCCTCATTCTCCCTCTCTCTCCCTCTCATTTCCTCTTTCATTTCCAGATATTGTTTCCTTTTGAGGGGGCTGCTCCCCTCTCTGCCTCTCAGCTGTTGGGGCCCTTGGGTGCTGTCACCCACAGCCGTGACTTGGATCCCACCCACACGCTGATGTTTCCCAAACCCGTATCTGTAGCCTAGATTCTTCCTCCAAACTTAGGTATCTCCACTCTGTTGGCCAAAGTTACCACGCCCAAATTCAACATCTCAAATCCTGTCCTATCTCTGTCTTCAAAAATAACTTCTGTGACAGAACCACCATGTATCCAGTCACCCAAGCCAGAGAGCTGGACGTCTTCTGAGGCTTCTCCAACCGACAGATCGAGGGCTACCAAGTACAATCAATTCTGCCTCCTAGTAGTTCTCAGATCTGTTCCACTTTCTTGCCTCACTGCTCTCATTTTAGTCCAGAATTAGAATACTTGACTCCAAATTTGTCTGTGCCACATCTGCTGTCAGAGTGGCCTGTCCTGTCACTGCACTGCTTCAGACTCTAACCTCGTCCCTTCCCCTTGAACACGGACTATTAAGCTAAACACCGCTACCTCCCCAGTCTCAGCTCCCTTTACTCTCATGCTCACCATGGGTCACAGCCCTCTGGGAGTGGCCGTGGGGTCCGTTAGCAATTACTGTGTGAGGATTTCGTCAATCTTTTTCAAGAAAGATATTTAAAATAACATTATACTGTGGGAAGACCATGCCACTCATTGACATTGAAAAGGAAGAGGCCAGGCACTCCTGCTCCAATACGACCACATTAAGTGACCTGCAGTTTGCTTCCGGATCACTGTGTGAGGTGTTCCCTCCGCCTGGAGTACAGCCTTGTCCTCTTTTGGACAAGACTGCAGCAGGACCGTGCAGGGCATGCCCAGGAGTTGTCTCCCCGGGACAATCTTCTCTGCCCTGGGCTGAGTTACGAGCCCCACCTCCGAGCTCTCAACCCTTGCCTGCCTGCTCTGTCCCTCACTGGGCTGTGAATCCTCAATGTCTAAAGGGACTCGGTATTTCCTGAGAAAGTGACTAGACTTTTGAAGTTCTTCTGTTATTCCTGGTCTTCCTGCGTTGGATTTCTCCAGGTCTAAAGAGGCTCCCCAGAGGTGCGCTGAGTGTCTTTACAGCTTTCATTTACTACCAATTACTCTCGCTCTCAGTGGGGAGGAGAGATTAGATCTGCATTATCACCATTCGCACAGTCACTCACTAGATAACTTATCCCAACCTGACACAAGGCCATCCATCACTGCTGGGGTTTCCATCCTTAATAAAGATCTCTAGGACCTGCACTTAGCTAGGTCAACACGAACGAATTTCGTAGGGTTTGTGTGAGACCCTGAGTCCACATACATCCTTATCTACAAAGACCTCTCACTTTAAAGATGAATGATACACGTTATCATCCCCACTCTATTATTCCTGCTTATGTTTCCCTTTCCGTACTTATCTCATTGCCTAGCGGAGTCACCTCACGCTGAATCTCACAGCACCTTTCATTTACGTACACGGAACAGTTGGTAAATCTGCAAACACAATACATGAATGATGAAAATCACTGATGCTGGGACACCATTTGTGCAAAGGGCACTGTGCTCTGATTTCCTCTGTTTCATTTGGTACTCAAACCCACGGAGGCGGCCGTTAGCACCCCTCGATTACAGCTGAGTGAGTCCGAGTGCACGGCCAGTGGTAGAGTGGAGATGTGCACTGAAGCTTGAACTGCAGTCGTATGTGAGCTCCCTTGTCACGTGTGATTGTGAAAGGGCAGTACTATTATTGTTGTAACTTTACTGTTGTGACGAGGTCAGAGGTTAAGTGGCTTGGGCAAGGTCACACAGCTAATAAGTGGCTAAGTGAGGTCTCGGATTCTGGCCTCCTGACCATCCCTTTCTTCTATTTCTTGGTGTTTCTCCAATTCCAGGTGGCACTCACTAGGGTCATATTTCTTTCTTTGGAAACCTTTCTTATCATATTTTCGTCATATTCTGGGACTTCCTTACTGGCCCACGATTTCTCAAAGCAAGTGCTAAATGATCTGGCCCAGGCTGAACTATTTCTCTTGCCTGAACTGCTGAGGGCATTAAAATTATCCAAATATTAGGACAACTGCATTTTATCACCATTTGTTTTTACAAAGTCTGAGTTACTTTCCAATTCCTACACTTGCTTTCTTAATCTTTCATGTTATTTGAAATGGGATTCAATGTGTCACTGTGGAGTCAAGTCCTCTGCTCCCCTGGTCTCTGTGGGAGCCCCTTAGCCTGGTCACCCTCCCTGCCCCCACCACCTGTCTGCAATCTCTGGTGTTCACAACTGGTGGTTTCTGATAGCCATGGGTATTTACGCATGGGTTCAACCGTTCTGAGGTCTCAGGGAAGCAAGTCTAGTGGGCATGTCCTTTCCCCATCGTGGAGATAATGTGTTAGACTCTAGTCCGGCCAGCGGGTACTTCCATGGGGAAGTGTGTGTGTGTATCAGCAGCAGACTTGTTGATGTCTGGTTCAGGCTGGCATGATCTCAGTTGCTGAGTGGGAGGTGAAGGGATTCCAAGAAAACTAGTTCCACTGCAGCCATGTTGAGAAAGTTATTTGCCTCTCTGAGCCTAGGCGTCTCCATCTGGATGATGAGCGCTGATTGACCAGATGGACCTCGAGAGCCCTCTGGCTT